AGCTCTCGCGAACCCGCCGGCCCCGCGCAAGCGACATCCGCCGGTTCATCCTATTAATAGCGGTGCCCTCCGGGAGCCACGCCACTGGCTGGAATAATAAAGCGTAGGATGTTTATTTCTGGACATAATGTTCCTCGTTTTTGCAGCAGGCAGAGGCTGAGGCACGCGGCGTTGCCAAGGTTTTACCGGCTCCAGCCTCTCCGTGCCACGGCAATGATTAACACCGCCGCTGCGGCAGCGCATGCCCGCGTACCCCCTCACCTCCCGCATCCCAGTTTCCTTAGCTTCAGATCGGCCACGCGCAGCGTTCGCATCCCAGATAAGGAGGGAAATCTGGGAAAGTCACTGCTGCACTGGGATTTTTCCCATCGGTGCAGTGCTTCCAGCCGGACATCGCTGAGAGGGCACCCATGCCACCGCCCCAGCACCCAGCCCAGCACGCTCCGGGAATTGCACCCAAAAAGTGCTCTTCTTTGCAAATCCCTGTGTGATGCTGGGAGACGGCCCATGCCAGGGGATCAGCCCCGAACCACAGAGCCCAGGAGCAGGGAAAAATCAGGATCTTTGGAGTTTTTTTGGGAGAACAGGTTCCATTTTCCAAACTCCTGGTGTGACCGTGAGCTCAACACTCCTCAAACCTCTCAAAAAGCAAATAAATAACCCATCACTCCCTTTCTCTTCCTGTTTAGGCTGGGAGCAGCTGGAGGTCTCCCAGGACCTGACCCACAGCATGCCAAATTCCCGGAGCATCCTCCCACGGAGCCACATCGTTACAGGGCAGAGCGGATGCTTCCAGCGGGATTTTCCTCGCTGCTGTCAGCAATCACCGACACACAAGTTTTCAGCCCTGGCTTCCCGTCTGGCTCCCCACACCCCCACCCTGGCCATGGAAAGGCTCCCCAAATCAATGGATGCATGACCAGGCAGTGGGGACATCGGTGGGAGGAAAGGGACTCAGCCAAGCCGAAAAAAAAACTGATTTAGGGAATAAAAACAGGCTCTAGCTGCTCCAGGAAATATTTCCAGGGAATATTAAGAACCCAATGGGTGAGGGACAGCTCTCCCCCCACCTGACCCCCATGTCCCCTCCTTTGCTGTGGGTATGAAGGGGTGGCCTGTCCTTGGGCGACGTTCGGGCTCCGGGACACTATTCCTCCAGCTTTGCTGGTGCAAAAAATTCCCCCAAAGCGTCCCCAGGCTCTGCCCCAGGCACGAGGCTGGGTGATGGGCATTGGCCAGGGCCAAGCTGAGGCCAAGCACCCTCACCTCCTCCCGCCTGGGAAAGCTCCGGTGGCTGTTGGCAAGCCTGGAAGCTGAGCCCCTGCCACATTTCTGCTAAAAATGGCCATTTTTGCAATTCAAAAGGAAATCGGCACAAGCAAGGCTGCCAGGCAGGGTGGATGGGGTAGCCCGCAGACTGCCCTGCCTCAGTTTCCCCAACAGCTCAACTGCAGCCCATGTGTCCAAGCACCCTGGGTGGCTCCTGGGGACGGATTCGTGCTTGCAGGGCCAGGTCTGAGGCCATGTGTCCCAGCATAGGTGGGTGCTCCTGCACTCCCCGGCACCCCACTCTCCACGCAGGTTGACCCCCTGATATGTTTTGGGAAGCTGCCTACAAACACCACGATCAGCTTGCAGGGTCCAGATCAAACCTGGCTTTAGGCTCAGGGCGTAGCGTCAGGGATGGACCCCATGGTAACTCATGGAAACACCAAATGGGGACCCCAAACACCCCAGGGTACCCCCATGTCCCCCCGCCAGCCCCGTACCTGTCTCAGCAACGTGCCCTCGTCCAGGGCATCTTGCCGCTGCTGGGCGACGGTGACACCGAGCACCAGTGTGTGAACGCCGCAGGAGATGGCGGTGATGAGCACGATGGGTGCCAAGCGCAGCGGCAGCGTGATGAAGAAGGAGAAGATGAAGAAGGCCTGCCAGCCCACCGTG